AGTGAGAGAGAAGAGAGAAGAGAGAAAGAGATCAACTCGAGTTTTTTTCTAACAGCTTCATGTTATTATGGAATGGGGAGGAAGGAGGCTTCAAGCCAGTGGTATCTCAGATCAAGGAAGGGCAGGAGGGCATGCTCATCTTTGGGCAAGGGGTCATCGTTTGGAGGGGACGGGACGGGAAGCGGAAGGCAACTCTAAGGCTTTCAATTTGGTTTGTAGGGCTGGCGCTGGCAGTATATGGAGCGCGCAGGGCTTCTTCCCAAGCCAAGGGAAGAACAGGTGGGGTCAAGTCTTTACTTGGAGGCACCAGTGAGCTTGTCCTGCATGGCGCGGATAACCTTCATCTGGGAGCCATTCTGGGTGGCGTACTGCTTGTTGGTGTAGCCCCACCAGTCGAAGCAGGCGTTGGGGTTGCCAACCTGTAACGCGGGCACACACGAGGCGCAAGCGTGAGCCCCATCGACACAAAACACAGCAAAGCCCGTGAGTCACACTTGCAGCCAGCGGTTGCCAAGCCATGACGTACGAGCTCGGTGGCCTTGCACTGAGGGTACAGAATGACGAGGTTGTTGGACTCAGCCCACTCATTGTAGCCGGTGTGCTTGATGTAGTCCTCCTGCGCGTCACGCGATCAAACATGTCAGGGTGAGTTTGGGTGGTGGCAATCAAGTGATGTTGTCGGCGCGCGCCTCACTCTCCAGCCGTTGTTGATCAAAGGGGTCAACGTACATGGATGCGCTCAATCTGCTGCTGGCAGCCGTGGAAGACAATGTGGAGGCGGCAAGCAGAAGCATTGCGGCAGGCCGTGGGCACATACATGTAACTGCGCGCCAACACATGCATGATTTGGGGGGTTTTCCTTTGTGAGCTGGCCTTTCCAGGCAGGTGCCAAGGCATGTCATGGAGGCGAAGAACATACCCAGTCGGGCCAAGGAGGGCATCAGCGCTGCCAAAGGCCGTCTGATCAAAGGAGATGATGTTGCTGTCCGAGGCGGTGCCACGGGGGTTCAGAGTGCCGTACAGGGTCTGACGCAGAGGGAACAGGGGTGGTCAGAAGCAAGGGGGTTGTAAGTGCTTTGTGAAACAATCCAGACAAAAAGGTGGCAGATCAAGCTCGAGATCCCTTGACAGGCCGCACCTGGAGGATGTGGCCAGCACCATCGTACTCGCACTTCTGAATGTAGGGCTCGCCCTGAAGGCTGCAAGGGTTGCCGTAGTCAAGGGTGGGCATGCCGTGGGCCGAGTCGACAGTGTACTCGGTAGTAATGTTACCATTGGTGACGTAGTGCTCGTAGTCTAGAGAGCGTATCGATGGCACGGCAAGGCGATAAGCACCGGGCAACACAGCGCCGACAAGATGGGAGCATGCGCGGAGCACGCACAGGTTTGCAGCTTGTGCATGGCAGCCGAGTTGACGACGTGGTCGTTGGTGCCTGAGTAAAGGTAGACGTTGTCCGAGGCCATGTTGGAGGTGGCATCAATCGACTTGCTGGCCGCAAAACCCTCGGTGGCCGAGTAGAGGCGTTCCAGGTTGATCATCTCGGGAGTGTTCATGCACACTGTGGCGCACATTGAGGTACAAAGGTGAGCGACGCAAGGACTAGTCGGCGTTTTAGACGGGAGCGGTTGGGATTTCGGGAAACGTACTTGTGAGGGCCTCGGCCATCTCGTCCTCGGCGCAGTAGTAGGGGCCGCCGGCCACAATGCCGGCGCCGGTGATGGAGGCAGAAAAGGCCACATGGTACTGCACGGCAAAGAAAGCGCCGGCACTGAGACCCGAGACGGTCACATTCTGCGAGCTCACTTGAATATCGGGCCAGGAGGCCGTCTGCGATTGCACAGCATGAGCATGGTGAGCGTAGGGTGGCGTTGTGAGTTTAGGGCAGGGCCGAGGTGACCTCGTGTCCATGGCGGCGCGAATCAAATTTCGGAGCCGCGTCGGGGGAGCAGCAACATACGGCAGTGGCAGCCAGGCAGGCCAGGGCAACAAAGGTCTTGGTCAGCATGTTGAAAACGTCGGCAACACTCCCTGCCACGTTGAACCCCACCAACCACCAGCGGCAAGACGCGATCGGGGGCCCTAGTGAGCGCGGCAAAGACGGCAAGAGGCAGATATCGAAGAAGGCAATGTTGCTTCCTCCCCCGCGCGGAATCAAGCAGAAAAAGCGATCGGCGAGGAAGAAGCCGAAGAGAAGGGGAAAAGAAGGGAGGCACAGAGACAAGGACGAAGACGAAGGCAACCTCGAAAACAGAGCTTGCTGGGCTCGCACGGAGGAAGGCGGGAGAGGGAGGCGGGGCGAAGGGCACACGATCGAGGGGGGCCGTACCTTATCGCGCGCAAATAAAAAACGACCAAAAAAAAAAGTATCACCACGGGGAGCAAAGCAAGCAGAGGGGTGGATGAGCGGGGGTCGGGTGTTTAGAGGGGGGTGAGGTTGGTATGAAGGGTTAGGGTGTTTTGGCATGAAGTTTGCGTTGTGAGCAGAGGTTGAGGTGAGCAGGGGTGGTGGTGGAAGAGCGTGAGGGTGAGCACCTGCAAGTGTCAAGCATCAGGTCGTTCGCAAATGTTTGTGTTTGATGCCGGTGTAATGTTTGTCACATCTGCATACAAGTGTGGCAAACACGGTAACAATCCCAGCAAAACATGTCACTCGAGTGTGAACACGTCAATAAAGAAAGACAGAGAGAGAGAAGAAGAGAGAGAGCAAGAAGGCGTGAGAGAGTAAGGAAAACAGAGAAGGAGTGAGGGGGCAACACCTGAAAAGCGTACAACAAGCGGTGTTTGCAATCATCATGAAGAATCAACATCAAAAAAGTGTGTCAAAAGTCAGATTTTATCACAAAAGTGTGACGATGTGTGACAAAACAAACCTACATTCCATAACGGTGGTACATTTGGTAGTTTTGGTGGGCACAAATACAACTTAAAGAGGGTTGTTAACAATAAGACGCGGATGACTTGCCCGTGCGCTGCAAGCAAGTCGGTGGTGCCTGCGTGCAGCGGAGGCCCTGCTCCATCAAGAGAAGCGCCGCATCCCCCCGTGATAGCTGCTGCTTCCTCACCGCCTCACCCACCACCACACATGGAGATCTGGATCATGGTCAACCGTGGTTGCAACGTTCTTAACGAAATGATTTTCAAAACCAGCAATACTTTGTCCGTGACAGTCGCGTCGTAGGTCAAAAGGAGTCAAGGTCTTGTCCAGACTCTTTACAAACGCCGCAATGAGGCCTAGGCTTGTACTTCTCGGTAGAGTTTGGGCTGGCAAGAGTCCACCATCAGACATGCGCAAGTGCACGGGCATGGTGGGTCGAGAAGGGTCGAGGCAAGGGTTTGCTCATGTTACCAAAGCTGGCTGGCTCAAGCAAACGGCGCGCGCACCGCGCGCCGCAGCGTGTCCCGCAATTTTTCTTTTGCCCGACGCACGGAGGAGAGTTGATGAGATGGCATTGTCGGTTGTGCGCTGCCTGTTGCTGGCGCTACTGGTCGCCCTTTGGCTCGACACTGGGCGCGGCAGCAGCGACGCGACAAGGCTCCTGCCCACAACCAGAGCCGCTGCTGCAACGACCAGAGCCGCTGCTGCAACGACCAGAACCGCTGCCAGGGCGTCAAGCTGCGCGCCAGCCGAGCCGGCTATGCGCTCGAGTATGGGTTTGCAACCGGCTGGACCCTCGCCCCAGCACGTAAGTACTTCAATGCCCCTGCCGCATTGGCCGTACGCTTGCCACAAGGTCTCACCGTTTTAACGCCCTCGGCTGCGTCACAGTGGGACGCTGCAAGTGCACCAACCTCGTACCCTGTCATGATCCCGATACCCTGACCTGCCTGCGTGCCCGCCACTGCTTTGGCGATGACAGCAAGCCCTGTATCGACTTCAAGCCTTGCACGCAAGACGACGATACCCCAATGTCGAGCACGGTAGGTCTTGGTACATCCCTCAACCCTTGATTTTGTTCTTGATTTTGTTATGCCAACCTTCCTTGGCAGAAATGTGGCGGGATCACACGCCCAGCATCTCAGATTTCGCTGCCGGCTAACCTTGCCCGTCCCGTGCCGTGCAGTTTACATTCTACGCCGCCTGTGTTGGTGCGGACAGGTCTACGCTCATGGCCATCGAACGCTCCCACATATACGGGCGCCTGCGTGCGGTTCTTGATCAATGTCGGCGTCTCACAAAGGTAAATAATTGATGCCAACCAAAACCTCAGGTGTCCTGTGCCACGCTTTGACAAGGTCCTTTGGCGCTGACCCATTCGTACCTGCGTATTGTTGTGGGCCGCCAACCCTCCTGTTTAGCCCTGCCGTGTTGCGCTGGGCAGTGAGGACCATCTACACTTTGCCAATGCCAACGTCGGGGGCATCTACACTCTCCAAGTCGCCGTTCTGGCTGCCAAGGTACCGCATTGCCCGTGTGCATGGAGTACTATGCAGCTGGCAAACTGGTTCTTCACCTTCTCCGCACCCCACGCATGTGTGCAAGTCCTTGTTTTTATCCCCATTCGCCTGATGCATTTGTCTTTTGATGAACAGGATGCTCGCCGCCTGTTCAAGTGCCTGGCCAAAGCTAGCGCCCGCCTACGAACGCGTCAAGGCTGCACCATCAGCGCGCATCCTTCCTCACTCCCAGACGTTCCAAAAACTCTGACCTCGATGACATCGACATCGACATCGACATCGACATCGACATCGACATCGACATCGACATCGACATCAACATCGACATCGACATTGACATCGGCATCGACATCGACATCGACATCGACGTCCACGTCCACGTCCACGTCCACGTCCACGTCCACGTCCACGTCCACGTCCACATCTACAGCAGAGTCCGTTTCCAAGTCGACTACTGCACCAACACCCAAGTCCGAAGCTACACCCACGCCTACGTCCACATCATGGTCTCGGCCCAAGTCTACGTCAAGGTCTCCGCCAACGCCGACGCCGAGGTTGACGTCTCGACCCACGGAACCCGCGCCTACGTCCACGTCCCTGCCCGCTCCGACTTGCGCTGAAGATAGGTTTGAGCCAAACGACAGACTCGCCCCACTTTCAGTCAGTCCCAATCTGACAGCCACTGGGCTCTCTATCTGTGGTCCTCATGATGTGGACGCCTTCCAGTTTCCCATATGCGCGCGAGGGCGCGTTGCAATTGGACTCTTCTTCTCTCATGCTTTGGGTGACCTTGACATGCGTTTGCAAGTGGCCGATCTTGTCATTGATCGGGCCAGCTCCACGGATGATGAGTTTGCCCTTGTCGTGAGCCCATTGCAAACTCCAACGACCGGTCTCCTCGAGATTGGCAGCTTTGGTGGCAAAACCAATGCGTACAATCTCAGCATCACCGTCTCGCACTGCCAACAAAAGGTCTGCACAGACAGCCAATTTGAACCAAATGACTCGGAGGCAACCGCCACGACACTTCTCGGCAACACTTCATGGTTTGATTTGGAAATTTGTTTCAGCGGCGATGAGGACGTCTATGTCGTGGACGTCTGTGCCAATGGCAAGCTTCAAGTGGACGTCCGCTTTCGGCATGCCGACGGCGACTTGGACATGACTGTCCGCCTCAACGGATTGACAACCAATGGCATCTCGGCCTCGGACAACGAGTCTTTTATTGGTCCCAGCTTCTCTAATCAAACCGCCCTCATCAAGGTCTATGGCTACGTTAATGCCGTTAATACCTATGAACTCGATGTTCGTCTCTTGGGCTGTTGAAGCTTGCGACCAGCCAAGCGAGGGTCCAAGCGCACAATTCTCATTTTAATTATTCTGACCGCCATCGCGCATGAAATCGAATGAATGAAACGCTCCAAAAGGTCCATTGTATAGTTGAATTGGTTGCGTGGCTAAAACCCGCCACCAAGTTTCACTGGGCTCGACGCTTGCTCGCGTCCATCTAATGGTCGCAATTCGGCGCGAGTGTGTTGTGTTGGTGTGCACACGTGTGTGTTTGTGTCTCCGTGTCGGTTTTCTGCGACAAAACACCTGTCCCCGGTTTTGAGAATGATACAAGCCCCCCGCCTCATCCAGGGGCGCAAGCTGACCTAGGTCAAGATCATGAACAACATCGGGATTGTAAACAGCATCCATGACCCGAACACCGAACACCCGACACCTCGCCATAACGCCCAGATGGCAGAACAGCCCATTTTGTAACGGCTATAAAGTATGACATGCTGACAATACGAGGGAGGGGCGGTGCCAGTTGACTCGGTTGCAAGGAAATGCCTGTGGTTGGCGGGCAAGTGTGCGTCAGCTGGTCGGGGTCGGTGCAGGGTACGGCTGGTCTAGTTGCTGTGTGTGTGTGTGTGTGGGCAAGGAAAGGGGTGGTGGTGGTGGTGGGTGGGGGTAGGAGTCATGCGTTGCGGTGGCTTGTGCGTGCCTCGCGGGGTGCGCATGTGGCATCGCGTCATGGACCAAGCCTCGCCATTTCCGACAGCAAATGGCCGCGACTCTGTTCGATCGGCGCTTTCTTGATCCTATCAACGTTGTGTCCCACAAAGTGTGCCTGGCCTTGGATGAGTGACTTGCCCATCTCGTTCTTGGCGTGTTGAGTCTGTTCGTCGGCATGGTTTGGGCTGCTGTGCATGCTTTGCCGTGCGTTGGTGCGCGGCGCGTCTTGAGCCTCCTCCTCGCTTGCCTCTGCATTCTCGGTCAAGCTTCACCCACCACCACCGCTACCCGTCTCCCAACCACTCATGTGCCCTCGACTACCACGCCGAGCCCAACTGCTCACACTGGCGATAATTTCGTTTCCCTCGAGCGCCTAATTGCCTTTGAGGTCAGGAGCCGTGTCCTGTCGAACGTCCATCGAGTCATGGGCTGCGCTCTTGTATGTGTAGCTCACGCCGCTTATGCTACCGTTCCGACAGGATAACAACGGTCAAGGCTTCAAAATCAAACGCGCCGAAGGCGGCTACACCGTGGAGACTGGCTTTGCCAGCGGTTTTGCCTTTGCCGCTGTTGGTACGATGCTCACCCTCGCCCGTGTGGGCGCAAGTGTTTTTGTTATTGTTATGTATACCGCGTGTCGTGCTCGTCAAGTTTTGAGCAAAACAATGGCGCATCTTCAGCCTGACCACGACAGCCTCTCCTTGACTCGCTCGTGTTTGATTCTAGCTGGGCGCTGCAAGTGCACAACCTTGGTGCCGTGCCGCGACCCGCAAGGACTCTCGTGTCTGCGCGCCCGCTACTGCATTAGTGATGAAGCATCTCAAGCTTGCGTCTGGTTCAAACCCTGCACTCAACGCGATGACACTCGCATGAAAACTCAGGTAAAAGACTTGCCCGTTGCACTTGCATCAATCAAGCGAGGTGATGGGTGTCCGATCTGACTCTCTGCTGCGTCAACTTAAATGCCACCCAGGCCAGCTTTGCGGCGGTCTGTGACGGAAGGCGTGGAGCTCAGCTGACTGCCAACGATCAACTGGCCATCTTCAACTTGTCTCGCAGCGTGGTGGACAAGTGCATCTCTGTCAAAAAGGTTTGTGTCCGTACTGCCTGTGCCAGTCATGTTACAACCACCATCAATCAGCCTTGATGCCAACACTGTTGCCTCAGCCCTGTCAGGTGATGTTGAGGAACGCGACTGACCTCGTTTTTGCCAGTCCAAGTGCAACTGGCTTTTCCCAATACAAAGTATCAGTCCCTGTCCGCAAAAGCAAGGTCAGCGTTTTGCCCTGCTTATGGTGCTGGCAACCTGTCCGATGTGCTCATGCTCGGCGCCTGTCGACAAGCAGGTGGCACGACAAGTGGAGGAATGTATTGAAAACTCGGCATCGACACTGCTCAACCAAGGCGCCTGTTCTATCAGTCTGTTTGCGCAAGATTTGCCTGGCATTGAGCCCACGTCTACGACAACCACGCTGTCAAGTACCTCGAGCACCTCGAGCACCTCGAGCACCTCGAGCACCTCGAGCACCTCGAGCACCTCGAGCACCTCGAGCACCTCGAGCACCTCGAGCACCTCGAGCACCTCGAGTACATCAAGCACATCAAGCACCTCGAGTACTTCGAGTACTTCGAGCACCTCGAGTACTTCGAGCACCTCGAGTACTTCGAGCACCTCGAGTACTTCGAGCACCTCGAGTACATCAAGCACATCAAGCACCTCGAGCACGTCGAGTACATCAAGCACATCTACCACCTCGAGCACCTCGAGCACATCAAGCACCTCGAGCACCTCGAGTACATCAAGCACATCAAGCACCTCGAGTACATCAAGCACATCAAGCACCTCGAGTACATCGAGTACTTCGAGCACTTCGAGTACTTCGAGCACCTCGAGTACTTCGAGCACCTCGAGTACTTCGAGCACCTCGAGTACATCAAGCACATCAAGCACCTCGAGCACGTCGAGTACATCAAGCACATCTACCACTTCTACCACATCTACCACATCAAGCATCTCGACCACATCTGCCACCTCGACCACCTCGACCATCTCGACCACATCGACCACATCGACCACATCGACCACATCTACCACATCAACCACTTCTACCACATCGACCACCTCGTCCACATCGACCACATCTGCCACGACCACCACATCGACCACATCTGCCACGACCACCACATCGACCACATCTGCCACGACCACCACATCTACCACATCAACCACATCTACCACATCGACCACATCGAGCATCGCGAGCACCACGTCCGTCACCTCCATGTCGCCCACAGGGATGGCATCAACGAACATGCCAGCAAGCACAACGACCGCAAATACATCACCAAGCAGCACAACCAGTTCATCGTGTGCAGCCACCTTTCCTGCCCCAGGATGCTCATGCAGCCCGGACGTGCTGGAACCAAACAGCCCTACATCACCAGCACTGCTGAGTCCCAACCTGGCTATGACTGGACTCACAGTGTGCTCGAATGAACCCGACGATACCTATGTTGTTCCAGTGTGTGCGGGCGGGACAGTCCAGGTGACCATAGCTTTTTTGCACTCCTTTGGTGACCTGGACCTGACGCTCAGACTTGCATCTCTTCTCGATCAAAGTCTATCAGAAACAGACGATGAATCAGTCATGTTAACAAACACCCTTGGACGGGATGCGGATGCGACCATATCCGTCATTGGGTTTCTCGGCGATACAAACACCTACAACCTTTCGATCATCACGACGGGCTGTGTCCCAACCGTCATGACGCCCAGCCTGACCCCAGAATCATCAACCACTCAGGAGCGCACGCTTCCTTTGGCAACCAATGCTTCAGCAGATAGGACAACGACAATGGCAGCGACAACAAGCAGTTCAAGTTGTCCCGACTCGGCACTCGAGCCAAATGATTCTGTGGCCACGGCCACAATGATTGCCACCGACGTGGCCTTGCAAGGACTAGCCATCTGCGAATACGGTGACGTGGACGTGTTCATCATTCCCGTCTGCCAATCCGGTGGCCTTGATATTCTGCTTGAGTTTGAACACGCCGTTGGCGACCTGGACATGGCGGTCACTTTGAATGGCGTTAACACACCCGTCAATTCCGCGACTGACAATGAGGTGTATGTGGGTATCAGCACATCCGACCAACTTGCGCAGCTGTACATCTTCGGTTTTCGCAACGCCACCAACACTTACACGCTGAACATGAATATCGTGCAGTGTTGAGAACATCAAAGCAATATTCAAGGTTTTGACTATTATATTTTGTAGCAACCAGTCGTCAGCTGGGCCAGGACAATTGAAGTCTTGTAGTATGCATTGAAGATGTGATGATTCTGCAGGGGCTTGCGCTCGAAAGAAGAACAAAAAAGAGAGAAAGAGAAGAGAAGAGAAGAGAAGAGAAGAGAAGAGAAGAGAAGAGAAGAGAAGAGAAGAGAAGAGAAGAGAAGAGAAGAGAAGAGAAGAAAAGGCAGCAAGCCATTGCTAGAACTACTCGATTTGATTGGAAGCTACTATCCTCTAAAGTCAGGCTAAATCTATCTAAACGCGGGTTGATTTGAGCAGCGGGGCTTTGGCAAGCACCGTGTCAACGACCCTTGTTGCAGGTGCGTCTGTTTGTTGATGCTCCGCAGCGGCACTGCACACATCCATGATCCTTGCACGGCGCTCATGCTGAGCTTGCTGAACGCTGTCGAGCAGTGACGCGTTGATCGCAATGCCGCTGTCTTCAACCATCTGACGGAAGACCGAACCGGATTGTCGGAGGAGATTGATAGGGTTGTCGTACTCGGCAATTTCCCCTAAATGATGGCACCAGCACGACCCCACTCTGAGTGGAAACACCTCACAAAGGCCAGAAAGCGCTTGTAAGAACGCAACTCACCCTGGTCCATCACCAAGATCATGTCACAGTCTAACACGGTATTCAGTCGATGGGCAATGGTCATAACTACGGGGCCAGTAATCAAGGCAAGGTCCCATGAGGCCAAGCAAAGTGGAACTCGGAGCAAACTGAAGCAGGGATTGGCGAGCTGCAGCTCCCACGCACCCGTGCAGCCCGCAAACGACGTGCGGATGGTCGACTAAAAACGGGCGCCATAGCGACATGAGTGCAAGAATATTGAAGCTCCTCACTGGCAATCCCTCGAGCAACCCAGCAGCGTTGTGGCTTGCCTGTAGGAGGCTATCCGTCTTGCTATCGGTACTGCTACTAGCCTCATCCAAAACCAGGATGCGCGAATTGCGCAGCAGAGCACGGGCCATGCACAACAGCTGCCAAGACAAGCGATGCCTTTGAGGCGGGCTCCAGAGATACAGGGCGCCCAATTTCGATTCTGCCATTTTAAGCATGACTGCGGGCAAAGCAAATCGTCCATCGACCCCGACCTGGCGCTCGCCGACGGAAAAGTTGTTGCCATTCTCTACCACGGGAGCATTCAACTGTGCGGGAAGGCGATCAATTGCTCCCCGCATGTGTGCTCGCTCTATCAAGCACCAAGATACGCAGAGCACCATGAGGAAAAGACCACCGAGATTCAACCCCCTCCCTCCCCTCAAGTTACCCCAAGAAACCACCAACGTCCTCAACAGCAACAGCAAGCATGACCCTCATGTCTACCGTGGCCTGTTATTCATGATCGGGAACTGACCCAGCGCCGTCCAAATTTGATCATCCGTGTAGCGATCAAAAGGATCGAGGTTGTATCTTAGCGTGCCCACAAACAGAACGGGCTCCTACACACCACGTTCAGGTCAGAGCACGTAGTCACACCCTTGTGCGCGTCTTGAACAGTCAAGGCTCATACTTGGGGAATAATGCTGAGTCGTGAGCGCAGATGATTGAGCTTGACGGAAGAAATATCCAATCCATCGACCATGATTTGGCCCGCCTCAAGCTCCAAAAGTCGATACAATACTTGCGTCAGCGACGACTTGCCCGCGCCTACGAGTTCAAAGCCAGAACATGGCAGCGCGGCGACTATGAGACACAGACATGGCTCGCGGGAAAGAAGGAAGACGGTCAAAACCAGAAAGAGCTGAGTGCGAAGAGGACAGAGCCCCGTGTTCCATACCTGTGCGACCAACGATGCCCACGTGCTGCATGGCCGCCACCCTGAACAAGCGGATGATGGTGGCCATCGTGAGTGGCACCCAAAAGCCAAGAACGGTTGCAGGCAGCGAGTCATGCCGAACCGAAAAGTAACGGATTTGAGGACGGTTTCAAGACCAGGGCGGTAGCGTGCCGAAACGGAGGCAAACTCGACAACACCCTGCGTTGGCCACTCGGGCGGTGGCTCAAGGCCCGCCGAGTCTTCCTGGGGGGTGCTTTGCACGGTATCCTGAAGTCTCTCCACGGAGGTAAAGCGGCCCTCCACCTCGGCACTCAGGCGGGTGGTATACTGGAACATGCCTGGAGGCATTGCAAGAAGGAAAAAAAGGAGCGGTGTTGTTTCGGACGCAGATGAAGGGTCATCGTCGTTGAAAGCGCAATGTATGGCAGGCCAGTCGCACGATTTTGGCTGACCTCCCATGGAGAGAGCATACGTAATGCTCAAGGCGGCCTGGGCCGGGTCGATGTGGTTGCGCAAGATCACACTGGTGATTCCCGTGGCCAGCACGATCATGGTGGTAGTGATATCAAGGCGAACTGAAAACCAGCGCGAGCAATAGTAGAAGCCAAAGAAAGACCTACATAAACAAAACCCAGGGCAAAGGAGCCAGCGCATGAGCGGATCGAAAAGGGTTTGACGATGAGAGTGGACTTGTTCTCATCGCACTCAAGGCGATCGATACAAGCGCGTACTTTGTGTTTGTAGTCAGACGTTCAACAAATTCAGAGTAAAATTGATCGTGCTTGCGAAAGGCTGCAATCGTGCTGAGGCCTTGCAGCGTTGCAGAGAGGTGGGAGAACAAGGGGCTGCGCGACACGTTGTCCAGTCGCTTGATGTGTCGCTGTGTCGGGCGAAAGTAATGCACGAGCCAGAAGAAAAAGCCCAAGATGGGCACCAAAGCAACCAAGAACCATGGGAAAATGTACCCAATCAGTGCTAGCATAAGCACAATGTGTGCCACATTCTGCAAGAATTGCTCGGCCAAGAAGGGCAGTCGCTAAATGATCAGCAGCAGCACGGTGGGGTGGCAAAGGTAAGAGCCAATCGTCAGAGTCAATCAGTGGGAGGGGGTCGAGCAAACGAGAAGACACCATCCACTCTGCTGCTCATCTATTTCGCGTCATGCGGTCCTTACCGTGTCAATCTCATCCATATCCTTGCTAAATCGATTGAGCAGGCGGCCAGTCGGGGTGGTGTCAAAAAAGGCCATAGGGGCGCCCACCACGGCGCGGAAAACAGAACCATGGATCTGACTGGAGGCTTTGATGGTGTGACGGCAGTAAAGGTATCCTCGGACGCACTGCCAAGACCCCGGATGTCAAAGCAACGAAATACAGCATGCAAACGCTGTGGTGAGTGATGAGTGATGAAAAAGTCTTTTATAACTGCCACATCATCGCTCGGCTCGAGGGCGACCTTGGATTCAGTACCTGCAAAATTAACAGGGCGGCCACGGTCATGCTAAACACCAACGCGTGTCGATCAATGTCAGGGTTGTCAGCTGCATTGCCCGTGCGACTCGAGCCATCGCCCTGTATCCAAGCAGGACCAGGTGTAAGCTCCATGGCGGTACGCATGACAAGCGCGGCTGCGCGGTGTGTCAATGATCAAGCATCAGAGTCGCTTGACAAGGCGCTGCGCTCACCTGTTGAATCCAGTAGCTAAGGTAATAGTCACCAAAGGTCCGAGCAAACATGGCCACGAAGAAGAGGCCGATAATAAAAGAGAATATAGCAATACCACCGGCGGCACGAAAATATTGGCCGATCGTGTGACGACCCACGGCCCCGCGCACCATCCCCTCGTCTTGCACCAGCGCCGTGCCTTGGCTTCCTGGATCTCCGAGACGGAGCGCCGGGTCAGGACTGGAACCTTTTGATGCGGCCAAGGTTGGACTGGTTGCTTCATCGCAAGACACCTCTGTTGTGACGGTGGCGTGTCGCTCGGCTGCCGACAGCTGGCTTGACGTTTCCAACAAGCCTTGGTCCTCGACGGGCTTCTCCTCCGAGACTTGACGCAGGTGGTGCTCAACCAGGCTGGCAAAGTCTGGATTGCGTTGCAGCAGCTCGTGGTAGGTGCCAATGTGGACGTGGCCCGCATGCACAAACAGTACGCGATTGCAACGGCTGAGGTGTTGCAATTGATGGGTAACGAGCAAAACTGTTTTTTCTCGGAGGGCCGAGAGAACAGCGTGCTCAAAGATGTGCTCGCCAACGTGAACGTCCACTGCGCTCAGGGGATCATCAAGCAAGTAGATGTCCTGCGCGGCATACAGGGCGCGCGCAAGGCTGACACGCTGTTTTTGACCACCCGACAGGTTAAGACCTCGCTCGCCAATAAAGGTCAGGTCCCCGGCCGAGAGTTGGCGTAGATCGGGCTCCAAGCCAGCAGCAAATACGGCTCGACGATATGCCTCCTCCTCAAAAGGGTGACCAAAGAGAATGTTGTCCCGCAGCGTGGCCGATTGTATCCATGCTTGCTGGCTGACAAAGGCGACGCTTTCGCGAATAAAGGCCTGGCCGCTCTCATTCACAATCAAAGCCTCGGCTAGCAAGGCAGCGAGCAGCGTTGATTTGCCTGCGCCCACGGCGCCGCAGCAACCAACGAGCTCACCGCGAGTAATGGCCAAATTTACTTGTCGGAGGAGCACTACGGGAGTTGGCGCCGCGTCAGGCTTGGCTGACTCACTGTTCGGCCCAACAGCCGAAGACGGTGGCAGCGTCGGCCAGGCAATGTCTGCATTGTCCAGTTGAATGGCCACATTGGCGTTTGCTATGGATGGTCAAGCCAAATGTCAAAGAAAGACCAAGCCAGATGCCAAAGCAAAAGCAGACTGCGTGGACACGGGAAGTAGAGAAGCATTGAAAGCGGCCATTTGAGCAAGCAACGCACAAGGAGGCAGAAGAGGTATGCGTTCGTTATCTTGCAGCAAAAATGTTTTGAGGCGTTTGACGCCTTGCTCAGCCTCAGCAGCGGTCTTGACAGCCTGGGAGAGGCAATGCGGGCAAAGGGGCGTGAGGGAGACAATGAGGGCAAAAAGGGGCGCGAGAGAAGTTTTCAAATTGGGCCACTCTTAGCATGCTCTGCAACAGGGACGTACCCTTGATAGCACAGACAAGGAAAACCGGAGCGTATTGAACAGGGCGAGCACGGTGAAGACCTACACAGGCGGCCAGAAACACGTGAGCAACGTCCAAGATGCTGCAAAGCCATGTGAAGCCTTCAGAAAACACCAAACCGCACCTCGTTGGCTTTGAGGGAGCCTGCCGTGTAGGCTTGGATTAGAAACGTGACCATGGCTGCTACAGCTGGCATGATGGGAATGAGGGAGACGGTCACGCTTTGCCATAATGCGGCATGGCGAAGGAAGGTGGCCTCGGATTGGCGCAAGTCAGCCACTTTATCGGCAAATGAGTCCTCCCATGCGTACATTTTGATCAACTAAGCATATCAAGGCGGGTAGCCGTGAGAAAAGCAAGCTTGGTTGCCGAGAGGACAGTTTAGAAAGACTGGCTGCCGTGGGGTATGGGCTTGGCGACTGGCAGCCGTGGCGTATGTGCCTGGCGACTGGCAAGCGTACCTTGATGCAAGAGATAATTTCGTTCATCAAAGCGACGCGAGCGTCGGTGAAGGAGAGGGCCTGCCTTCGGAGCTGGCTGGTTTGCTTGGCAAACACCACTTGAATAGGGACGATGAGAGAGAACACAAAGACACCGGCTAGCGCGGCTGGACCCAGAACAAGGGCACTAGGAGCACGGGGGAGAGGGGGGCAGTAGAAGGACCATGATGAGGTGACGACCGAGGGCGCATGGACAAGGACGAGGCAATGGGAGATAACATACCTAGCCACAAGGACGGCAAGACCCATAACAAGGGAGATGTATATAAAGGCCGAATATAGGGCTGCATCATGAATACGCTGGCCGTCGTTGCTGCAAATGTTAACTAGTTCACCCACTGAGTAGCGCCCGAGGTCGCGCAGCCGCAAAGCTTTGCGAAACACGGCGCCTGCCATTCAGGGCGGGGCCCAGGATATATGTGAGACATGTGCACAGCGAGGTGGGCTGGCGTGGCGGTGCATGCGCGCGCGCGCACGGGGTGATGGTAGAAAACTTTATGCTGCGGTGCCGCGGATGGGATGGACGACTGGTTGGAGCCTGACAACGTACAAAAAATAATGGTGCGAAAGGACACTCCGTAACGGGTGGACGTAAAGCCGTACATGTTGAGAAGCAGAGAGCTGTCGGCAACGGGACGGTATGACAGGGACGGTCAGAGGGAGAGCGAAAAGGCGGGGAAGAGGTGCACAGGTAGATATTCATGTCAAGACGGAGTTGAGAAGGCCAAGGAATGTTGGGAGACCAAGGTATCAAGGAAGAGGGGGTGAAGCAGAGTCTTGGGCCAAGAGCGCACCGCAAGACCTCACAAGCGGCGAGGGCAAAGGCGAGGCCCAGACCAAAGCCAATCAGGTTGGAATAAGGGCCGGAATCTTCCAGGTAGCGCACGATTGAATTGAGCACGAGGAGTGGGGTAAAGAGCGCGACGACAATGTACAGGGTTGCGACCACGATGGAGGTCCATATGGAGGCGCGGTAGCCGTGATAGAGCGCGCGGGGGATGGAAGCTTTGGCCTGCGGCACGTGGGGAGCGCGGGAGTGATGCAGCACAGAGCCGTGTATGCACATTGGGTGCAATATACAAGTGCTGCTCGTACCGGCCCATGGCGCTCGACTTCTTGTGCCCAAGCTTTCTCAAAGCGTCGTGCAGCTGTCTATAGGGGGCAAGGTGGACAAGAATTAAAAAAAGTTGGTTGCGCCGAACAAGAGGACGGCAGCGAGGGGTCGGAGGGCAGGGGACAGGGTTCTCGCAAGGCAGCCGCGGACCTCGGGCTTTTGGTCATCTGGAAGCGCATAGACGTCTTCGGAGGAGAAGAGGAACCGACGACCGTACGCGACGAGCGGCGAGCACCAGAGGAAGAGGACGTAGCTCACAAACGACGACTCGGCAATGGCATCCCAGTTTGCGCGCCGAAACGGCGGTCGGGTGGGCTCCTCCTCCACCCAAGGTGGCTCCACCTCCTCTTTATCCGCCATGACACCCCCAAACGTCACCCCAAGCAAGCCGCCAGATGCATGACGGGCTGAGCAACCACCAGCAGCAGGTGTCGGAGCAGCAGCAGCAGCAGCAGCAGGTGTCGGAGCAAGTCGCTCCACGGCCTCCACACACACGTGTGTGTAGGTGTGAGAAAATCAAAGAGAAATGCGTGTACTGGCGAGAGATGTGTGTGGGACGGCGATTGATCGTCGTTCGTCTGACAAACCCTTTTTTCTTTTGGTTTTGTTGAGAGAGAGAGAGAGAGAGAGATTGAGAGAGAGAGTGTGTGTTAGAGAGAGAGAGAGAGAGAGATTGAGAGAGAGAGTGTGTGTGTGTTAGAGAGAGAGAGAGAGAGAGAGAGAGAGAGAGAGAGAGAGAGAGATTGAGAGAGAGAGTGTGTGAGAGAGAGAGAGAGAGAGAGAGAGAGATTGAGAGAGAGAGTGAGGGAGAGAGAGAGAGAGAGAGAGAGAGAGATTGAGAGAGAGAGAGAGTGAGAGAGATTGAGAGAGAGAGAGAGAGAGAGAGAGAGAGAGAAGATTTACGAGAGAGGGAATGGCGTGGGCGGGAATTGCATAGGCCGTGGGACAACTGGATCAATCAAGCCTGACTGGGTTGCATTTTAGATCCGATGTTAGGTGGGGTCACTGGACTTGGTGTGGCTCAGGGGTTGCTGGCGAGGGGTCGTTGCTCTTGCTGAGTTTATTGTTGCGGGGTGGGCCCGGGCTTGTGAAGTTGCCTGGCTTGTGGGGCAATGCTTGTATTGGGTTTTGGGTGAATCGGGTCAGCAGGACTAACCTTGACAGGAGCATGATTGGGGTGGAGCGGCGCGTTTGGGCCTTTGCGCTTGTCAATGCTTTGGTCATTGCGACGGGGGATGACGCCTACGTCTGGTCAAATGAAGATGGTGACTTGTGCGTCAATAGTTCGCAGGCCCATGGGCCTACGCGAGTCCTTTTTGGTGACGTCGACGCCGTGGCAGCCCTTTCAGGCGCCCGTGAAACCATCACCAGCCTAGGGGGGCAGATCCCTGTTCTGGCCGAGCCAGGCATCGGGTCTGGGGACACGGTGCTGCAACCTGGTAAATGCGGCGACCTCACTCTCAACAGCAGCAGCGGCCGTCGCGTTCTTCTCAATGGCATGGACGTTCTAGCCGAGCTTTCCGTCTTGCAGCACGCCGCCGAGAGCATGATGGGGCCGGAAGTAACGCCAGCGGCATCGCCCCGCGCTGGTGCAGCCCCGTGCTCCCCACAGACAGATTTGAGTTTACACAACTCGATCAAGGTTGACGAGCACGGCAACGTATTTTTCAATGTCAGCCAGTCTCACCAGCGCATTTGGCTCAACGGCGTCGATTTTCTTCAAGCGCTGGATGACCTGCGTCGTCTCGTGGATGCATTGGAGGAGATTTCGCCCAACCCAACACCCGTCCCTGTGATCCACACGGGTGACGTCACTTGTAATCTTTCAGCTTTCTCTCCCGCTACCACCGTGATCCAAGGAAACCTGAACCTCGACAGCTGTGGTGCTGCCCTCAATGCCGTTGCACTACAGCGTCTTGGCCGCGTCACGCGCATCGACGGCGGTGTGCGCATCAACGTACGATATCGAACCACTGTACACTCTTCATTTCCATTGAGTCATGAAGCTGATTGAAGCTGACGTGTAGAACAATCCTGCCCTGACCAACGTCGCTGGCCTTGGTAACTTGTCCTTCGTCGGCGAAGCCATGGTCATATCGGTACGCGGGTTGCAGCACCACACAAACAGCCCAGCCGCACTTCAGGCGGCTGGCAATGACCGACTGACATGCTTTGCATTGTATACAATTCATTCTGTATTCGTTGTTGATAGAGAAACTCTGGGTTGGCCGACATCGAGGGCCTGCACAGCCTCACCCACATCCAAGGCCACCTTCAAATTAATGTGCGTCAAAGAGTCAACCGCTTGTTTGTCCTTGAGCATACAAATGCCCTCTGTTAGCGTCAAATTCGAATTCGTACTCCCACACGCCGTGGAGTCTGGCACCTTCCTCTTGCCGTCTTGATAGGATAATCCTGCGTTGAGGAACATTGACGGCCTGCGCAGCCTGATCTTTCTCGGAGCACATCTCAACATCGCGGTATGTCTCAAGAGAAGCACGTCAGAGACCTCATCGCATCTACGACGATGCCTTCAAACACAAGTTGCGCTTTTTGAATACTATCAGCGGCCCCACTATTGGGTCTGCCCGTGTTTTATTGTGCGCATGCAGACCCAAGGCAGTGGGGCTGTCTGGTGGAGGGATGCGTGCTATGAAACTGAAGCTCGCTGGGTTTCTCTCGTAGAGTAACCTTGGGTTAGCCAGCATCGGTGGCCTCAGCAGCCTCACCAACATTACCCAAAGCCTTGACATCAAAGTAAGCCTCGCTGGGTGGAGCTTGGTTCTCGCATTGTTCTTGACCATCCTGATGGACATGCCCAACCCTTCCAACGGCAGTACAACCACGAGTTGACCACCCTAGATGGCCTCGGTGGCATCACCCAAGTTGGAACCTACGTCAGCATTGCAGTAGGTCATGCAGGCACCGCACACCTCGATGATCTGGCGTAAACGCTGAGCTGGCTTTGGGTGCATGCAGAGTAACGCTGCCTTGGTCACCCTCCATGGGTTTGATGACCTTTCATACATTGGAGATCATCTCTATATTGGCGTATGTGGTTGACACAAACGTTGTGATCGATTTTGCTCGGGTGCCTCAAAAGTACACCTCGCACATCACAATAGACCCACCCACCAGTTGCTGCATGGGCACCCGTTCTCTTTTCTTGAATTAGGGCAACTCGAAATTGGCGACCATCGATGGCTTGCATCGTCTCTCCTACATTAAAGACTATCTATTTATCCAAGTTGGTGAAACGAGTGGCTCCCCGAGAGTTTCAAGCTATTGCTGACGCTGCTCGGCGTGTGGCATGCCGTCTTTCTTTTTGTAGCAAAATGACTTATTGACCACCCTTGGCTTAAGCAGCCTGACTTACATCGGTGACTACCTTTTCATCAATGTATGTAAACGTCGCGATTCAATGGACTCAATGCCTCCACGTGTCTCCTCTTGGTCGCACACCGCTTGTCATCCGGTGTGCTTCTTCTATCCCTTTCTTGTTCACGCATAGAGCAACGCCAATCTGACAAACGTTGATGGGCTGGGTAATCTCCGTCATGTTGGTGACACCGTGCACTTTTGTTTGAACACCCAACTAAACTCATCAGCAGTGCCCACTGTGTTGTATGATGTCGGCACCTGTCACGATATCACAAATGGCACATGCAGTGCTTGTTAGTTCCACAAAATGTCTGTTTTATTGAAAAGCCGATCAGTACTGTGGCTATCAGCCACAACGCTCCGAATTCAACCAAGGAACGCCCTTGTCAACGGCATAGATCAGCGAGTTGTCATTAATTTAAGATGGCTCACTCGCCGTCAGACATGGTCTTTTGCGTGGGTGGGTGGGGGATATGTTTGACGTTGCTGGATGGTGTTGAATCGGAGCGCTAACGGGCTTGGAGCTTTGCACATTTACGCACGGGCTGCAGCTTTCAATGGGTGCAAACTATTTTTGGACCAAAAACACACAGCAACCAGAATGGATTCAAACACCCCATATGAATGTCTTGCATCTTCACCCTCCTCTCTAGAATGCACTGTTCCTCGTAACCAAAACTGGACGCCACACTTCTTCAAGGCTGTCAGTGGGCATAACAGACCAAGACTTTTATGCTGTGCTTCAACAGCTTCTGGCGTTTTACATCACGCCAGGTGACATGCCTTGTCTTTTCAAAACATTATATCGTTCAAACGCCACACCGACGTTGCATCGGATATTCTTGAGCCACGCGCTGCACACGTCACGGGCAAGTAGGCCAGTGCAATCATCGTGAATGGGCCTGCATGCTATTGAACACGATGATCTGCCAGCTGCCAAGCGTGCCGAACGGGAGGCCAGGCCATGTGCTTGAGACCTTCTTGTACAACCAGTCTTTGGCACGCATACATCCGTGCACCTCACAGGCGGTGTTGACTGGCTCTGCGAGCATCTGGGCCTCGCCGCTCAGGCTTTTCGGCGACAGATGCGGTCAAAGGCTTCGAGTCGTGCCGTCGTTGGGAGCGATAAAATGGGGGATCATGCCGCTCGTCCCATTTGGACGCTTGTTGTCAAGAGCTTAGAGCTAGCTCGCTCGCCGTCAGGAATGGTCGCTTGCATCCGGGCGGGGGGATAAGATTGATATGACTGGAGGGGCAGTGAGCCAACGGGTTTGTAATGCCATGGCAGGCAAAGGGGCAGTACACGTTGTACGTACAAGCAGCTTCGTGGTGCTCTAGAAGCTGCTCGTAACGGGTCATGGCAGGCAAAGGGGCAGTACACGTTGATACGTGCACAGGCTTGGAATTTGCTTGTAGGACTGTTGCTGCTTTGACTTTTCCCCCAAAGTAGTAAGAGTGTGTGTGGTGTGTTGCTTGCATTTTCCTTCTTCTGTCTGGTTCAAGCTTTCCTCTCTCTTTGGCTTTTTTGCCATTGATTTGCTTTTGATCTTCTTCTTCTTCTTGGTGTTGCCCTTTTTTGGCATCGGCATCGGTCTCGATCTCGGTATCGGCGGGCTGCTTGATGTGTCTTGCTTCGTGTGTGTGGTGACTGATCGCTCGTGCTTGGTACGGGACTCTCCTGGTCGGGGCCTTGCAGCGACGCCAGAAAGTTTGATTGAAAGCACTGCTGCCAATTTTTTGCTTTCAGTGAGGCCACTGATCTAGCCTCCTCGCAGTTGACGACAACGTACGCTTGGGCAACTAAAGCAACTGTGAACAAGAACTGTTGGACAAAGGTGAGTCGCATGGCGCACCAGGCAGAGAAGAGCAAGACCCGCTGACCGACTGCCGTTCTGGAACTGCAAACACGTCGAAGCCCAGTCCGAAATTTGGGTTGTCAGACGAGTTGTACTTGGAGGGGGCTCATGAGATTGGTGGTGGATAGAGAAGCAAGAAAGCGGTTTGAAGCGGATGGTGAATAGAGAGAGATACCGTTACCATGCGTGACGATGGAGAGCAGCTGTACTGGGCGTGTTGTTCATCAGATCCACAAGAGGCGTTGCAGCTGGTGACCAGTTGGGACCAACAACGTGTTCAAGATGCTGCCAGATTCCGCAATATGGTACGTATGTGCTGTTTGGTATGTTATCGTGCGAAGTTGGCCACACTTCGATGTGGTATAACATGGGATAAACTACATGACTGAATGCATCATCCCACAGTATGGCTGGACACCACTGCACTGGGCCTGCGACACCGGTCATGTCAAGGTGGTGGAGATGCTGTTGAAGCACGGTGTTGATGCTGAAGCCAAGAGCAACGTCAGTACAGTACCTTCCTCCTCCTTTACCATCCTATGATGGTACACCTGTACCACATGTTGATGATGCTGATGCTGTTCGTCGTGCTGATGCATCATCCCACAGGGTGGCGTGACACCACTGCACGTTGTTTGCTTTAGAGGTCATGACAAGGTGGTGGAGATGCTGTTGAAGCACGATGTTGATGCTAAAGCCAAGGACCACGTCAGTATAGTGCCTCCCTCTTCCCCCGTTACCTCCCCTGTGCTGGTACACCTGTACCACATGAGAATCAAGATGATGATGATGATACCTGTGCCTCATGCTGATGCATCATCTCACAGAGGAAGAAGACACCATTGCACTGTGCATGCGAATGTGGCCATGTGAAGGTGGTGGAGATGCTGTTGAAGCACAGTGTTGATACTAAAGCCAAGGACCTCGTCAGTACAGTACCACAGTTTCCCCGCTTTTTTTTCCCCCTTATGATGGTGCATCATCATCATCATCATCATCATGCTGTACCTGTACGTCATGCTGATGCATCATCCCACAGTATAGCGGTACACCACTGCACATGGCCTGCAGTAGCGGTCATGTTGAGGTGGTGGAGATGCTGTTGAAGCACGATGTTGATGCTAAAGCCAAGGACGAGGCCAGTACAGTACTTCTCTCCTCCCTCCTTGGCCCCTCATGATGGTGCACCTGTACCATATCATCATCATTATGATGATGCTGTACCTGTGCCTCATGCTGATGCATCATCTCACAGAGGAAGAAGACACCATTGCACTGTGCCTGCGAATGTGGCCATGTGAAGGTGGTTGAGATGCTGTTGAAGCACGATGTTGATGATAAAGCCAAGGACGAGGTCAGTACAGTACTTCTCTCCTCCCTCCTTGGCCCCTCATGATGGTGCACCTGTACCATATCATCATCATTATGATGATGCTGTACCTGTACGTCATGCTGATGCATCATACCATAGGATGGCCGTACACCACTGCACAGGGTCTGCTATCAGGGTCATGTCAAGATGGTGGACATGCTTTTGAAGCACGGTGCTGATGCCAAAGCCAAGACCAACGTCAGTACAGTATCTCCCTCTTCCCCCCTTTACCCCTCTGGCTGCTGCTCCTGCTCCAGCTGCTCGTCGCCTTTGCCCCGTCCCGCTCTCCTCTACACCCTGCCTACCGTGCACGGTCGTTCTGCCTCTTGCTCCTTGTCTTCTTTCCGCCATTCCTTTCCTACCCCCGTTTTGCGTCCGCGCTTTGTCGGTGCTCAATGCTCCCCGCCCTGTTCCCAGCTGATCTCTTCCCCCTTGCCGTGCTCGCCCTTCCCTTTTCTGATATATCCGGGCACCACTCCACCCTTTGCCATCGCGCCTCTGCCTCCCTCGCACGCTCGAGCGGCTTTCGGTGGCCGTTTCTTCAGCTTTACCCCGACACACTCGACGCTCACTTCCACCCACCCACCCACGCCCCCTCCCAAATGAAAAAACAAAAACACGTTCCCTCAGCTTTACCCCGGCACATTCGATGATCACCCCCGGCTTTTAAAAAAAAAAAAAAAAAAAAACGCAAACAGGCCTCACGTTTCCGCACATTGATATTCTCACGTAGGACGGCCAAACGCCGCTTCATGCAGCCTGCGCTGGCTTCTCTGCCAGCCGAAAGGTTATCGACCAACTCTTGCGGCACGATGCCGACCCAGATGCGAGAGACTGTGTAAGCTCTTCACCGCGACGCCGTACTTTTGCGCTCTTCTGCTGCGCCTGCGATTGATACGCGATGGATTGCTGTGGCAGGCGGGTGCACGCCCCTTGGATCTGCTCCTTCGCAAGAGTCGCATCGACCTGGAGGTGCGTCGTTTTGTCATTTTGGTATTGACCGCAGAGGCAAGCTTGCTCACCGATGAACCTGTTTCACTTGACAGCCGATTGAAGAACTATTGGGCGCAACTCGTACCCTTTACTCCTACCAAACTTCAGATCTCACTGGTGCGAACCTGATTTCCATATCATTGTACGGATTGTCTTGTTCTCATCGGATTTCAACGTGGTGTCAGTTCAAGGCTTGATTCTTGCGGAGCAGGTCAGGCGCGGGTCGTGCGCTGCTGCTATTCTTTATAGCATCGGCTGGCGCGTGGATCCTCACTTGTTCAATATCCAAGATCTACAAACCCTCGGTGCCCGTGTGACCGCTCTAACGTGCGCTGCTCAAGCTACACCT